TTACAAAGATTGGATGTGGACTCAGTATGTGAGTGTGGACTCGTATGAAGCCGTGGTCAGACAATGGCAAGCTCATCTGAGGTAGCCTTGCGAAAACAAAATCATTCAGCCAGTGTAACTTGATGTAAGGTAGATCAGACGAGTTGGTTAGAGACATCGCACAGGTCGGCGAAATCAGATAGTTCACTCGAAAACAGTCGAGTCCCATGTGAGCAGTCGGGGGAATTCGAAGTCAGTTGGTGTAGCTGACGCCAATTGTGCTCATGAGGGATCGGCCCGGGCCAGACTGTATCTGTGGGGGCTCGACGGACCCATTCGCTGCCACTCACGGTCAATTAAATGAAGCTTGAAGCCAAGCGAGCTGAAGCGGCACCGTGATGAACGCAGCAGTGTCTAAACTCATCCGCAGACACACACGGCGACCCTCGGGTCAGCGGGTCGCGAACCCGCTCCGTGTCTAAAGCGCCGTCCAGTGGCGGGCTCAATCAGCCAGGAAGCGCAGCAAGCCCGCGCCGCCCGGCACCGGTCTCAGCGCGCGCGCGCGCGGCCGCGGCCCCGATCCGCCGCCACCGCGCCCGCCCGGTTTACGAGGGAACGCGGCCGCTAAATCTGGCGGCCGCGCGGCGCGCTTGGCTGCCGCGGCGGCGGTCGGCGCGCCCAAAATAGCCGGCTGGATTCGGTTCAATGGGCCGGCAACACTGACGCAGGGGGCGGCGGGGGATGAACTTACTGCGCGGCACCAGACCGCCCAGCACCGCCCGTCGCCACCCCCGGCTGGCCAGAGACCCAGCTCACATAGGCGCACGTTGCATTGCATTGGTGGCGACAGGCAACTCGTTCCAAATTTTTGCAGGTTTTTGGACGCTTTTTTATCGCTTTGACGAGGTGTTTTGATGTTTGTTGTGACGCGGAAGCCACATGTTGGGTCTGAATTTAGTATACTTTAAGTGCTGACCCCTGGGCCGACTGGGTCCCTGTTCATTGGGCTGCGTTTGAGCGCGAGTTCAGCGCACCGCTGCGCTACGTCAGAGGTAATCTCGAATAGTTTATGCATGCTTGGCGTGATGCCTTGCATGACTTTGAGATCAGTCCAGGTCTACATCGGGTGCGACGGTCTTGGGCCAAGGGCGCTCCCAAGCTGACGATGCCAGCAGGCAGTGCAATTGCGTCACTGATCTGTGATCAAATGCTCAACCAGATCGCGGCAATTTGCTTCTTTCTTCGTTGAATTAAAGACAACATTATCTGGACGCACTTAAGCTCTTATTTATCTCCGCAGCAATAGTAGGCCTGTGTATCCAGCACAGAAATAGTTGAACTATCATTTATCGGTCAAGCGATTCGTGGAACATCAGATCATATCGAGATTTGGGGCAGGAGTTAATTTGACAGTGGCTTTAAACCTGGCTTTATTCTAATGCTCGCAGAGCTCAGAATAGTTTAAGTAAGCGAGCCGTGAGGCGCCTGTGATGTCTGTCGCAGCATGTGCATGCGCTAGTTGAAGGAAAAGAACTTGGCTGAGCTTGTAAAGCTTGACAAAGTGTTGGTCAGCTTGTGTTGTTGTTGTGTTGTGGGAGTGTTGTTTGGAGGGCATCACACGCATGACGCTGACACGCGTGCGATTGGCGACCAGACATAACCCACTATGAATATCAAGCGGGAGGCGGCACCGCCTAGAAAACACAGCACTGCATAGTCGGCAAGGCATTTTTCGGCGGCATTCGTGGGATTAATAACGCACATTTCTGATGCACATTGCTAAACATCAGAATGTATTAAAAGCCGTTTTCACGAGTGTTCCGGGCGCTCAATTTTTTATGAATATTGAGCCCTAAGGGCCTTTAAACTCCAGTCTCATTGTTAAGACATAGGTGACATTGTGATGACATTAAGACTTTGTCGCGGCGAAGCGTTGTCGGATTGTGAGACCTTTGATAATTGTGATGCGCAGGTCATATCAACAAAACGAATTCTGTCCATTTTTGAAATATGCTGGGCGTAGTTCCTGACCAAATATCCAACGGCCCAGATATTCTTGCTGGGTGCCATAGCTCGATAACATTAGCTCCATGAGCTCGATACACTTAGGAGACAGTTTGAGTAATTGTATTCCTAAACGATTCATCAAGAAGCTTTGGCAGGCGATTTTCTTTCGGAAACCACTATTGCATCGCAGATCACAAAAAGCAAAGCAGTGTCTTTTATGAAGGAACTTGCTGAGAGGCAACGAACGGCACATTAAAAAGGGCGTGAGGTGTAGAGTGCGAGCCGCGCAACGGTCCTTTGAACGAGTTTGTAAAAAATACTGAAGCCTGCCGAAAACGAAGAGCGTCGAAGTGGTGTTGAACCATGGTACAGTACACAAGACTGAGCGCCCTCTTAGACCCACTGACCGCCCGAGCTGAAACGTCAGGGTCTGTTACTTCCCATTGGAGGAGGCACACCCAAAAGCGATCTTAGAATGGAGCGTAATGCAGCAATTACCATTGCCAAAAGCGGAGCAAATGAAAGGAAGAGAACAGAAGCAAGCTCTCAGCCGCTTTCCACTGACAAAATCGATAGCCTATAAGACGTTAGTGTTCTTAGTACCGACAATGTTTCAAGCTTCATGACCTTACAGTTAGAACTTACCACTGCTTGATGACCTTACAATTTGAACTTATCACAGCTTTCTCCTTACAGGGACGTCACAAGATTCGACAGCTGCGCTGGAAGGATGCAAGCTAAAACAAATGCAAGTGATATGTTGTAAGCGATGATTGTCACGCACCAGGCGGATGTCGTCACTGTGCGGCTACATGTTGCTTCGATCTACGACTGAACCTTTGTGTGTGGTGGGAGGGGAGGGGGGTTGTTTTTATCACCGATGTTGGGTTATGAAGGCATCACGACCCCTGACACTTGTGCTTACAGGATGTGCGATTTAAGCACATGGAGACGATGTCTGGTATGCACCATCCTCGAACAGCTCTGGCTGTTTTACGCACATCTCAGTTTTGAGCCCGTATACGGATCTGTGAGATGTGCTCGAGCCCAGCATTTGTTGGCACTGGACATAAGAGCACATGTGTAAGCTCTTGCCATGGGCAGCACGTAGCGTTTCGGTTCTTCGCACATCTTAAATGTATCCGGAAATAATAAGAATAGTCCGGATGTTAACTTTTTATCAAATCTTACCCTTTTTGTTTTCGCTGAAATGAGCAAACGTTTTGAATAGAGAATGTTAAGGTGAACTGATTTGCTGCGTAAAATAGGTGCAGGAGTTTTCAAGTTTGTATCACACAGTGAATCATGTCTTGCAATAAGCCCTTATCATGAAATCCGAATATCAATGCTACGCAAAACAAATCGCATCATTCCAAACTTTTCCGAGCTCGCCCACAACGAGCAACTAAGTATCCATATCAGAGGTAACGGTTTACAAGATCGCAATGGGCAGCAGATGGCAAAACTGGGTGGCGTTGCCGGGCCGGGCGTCCGCCGCAGGCCTGAGACGGCTACATGTGTAGACCGGAGCGGCGGCGGCGCCCGGCCCGTGTCGGCTTACAGATTGGACGAGTGGGCGGTGGGTCGTGGGTTCCCTGGCGGCGATGACCATATCTTGTTATTGTTAGGAGAGGCGATCAGATTTAAGCGTTTCGCTTATGCGCCAATCCACTCATCATATTATGTACTGCTTCATGTCCATAATCAAAAATAAACAATGAATCAATATATATATATATATATATATATATATATATATATATATATATATATATATATATATATATATATGTGCGTGTGCGTGTGCGTGTGCGTGTGCGTGTGCGTGTGCGTGTGCGTGTGCGTGTGCGTGTGTGTGTGTGTGTGTGTGTGTGTGTGTGTGTGTGTGTGTGTGTGTGTGTGTGTGTGTGTGTGTGTGTGTGTGTGTGTGTGTGTGTGTGTGTGTGTGTGTGTGTGTGTGTGTGTGTGTGTGTGTCCAAAACAATTTCTCTGTCTAGATCTACGAAAACACAAACTGTTCATAAGGATTAGCAGGTTGCGGCTGGGTGTTGTGTCGGCCTGGGTCCCTTCGACGGACACGGTATGCTGCGATGGGACCTATGTCTTAACTGGAAGGCGCTGCCTTCCCTCTGACACTGAAGTTTTCATGACGGCTTTTGGAAGAGTGTGCCAACTGAACGCACGAAAGACATTCGGGAGGGGGAGGGAAGAGAGATGTGCATCAATCATGACACTGAGTGCTTCTTCCACACATTTGAATTGCCATTTACACGATGGACACTGGCCTCATGCTACTGAGAATGAAGCACTTCAAAGATAGGCATATCTTTGACAGAGATGTATCCCGATCCCCAGGTGCATCCGGGATCCTCAGCAACCAGATCCGTAGGAGTGTTCAATGACGAGTCCAGGTCCTGGATCCGGGAACCCATTTAGAGGATCTAGGCACGCATCTGGTCCTAAGGAGAGCGTGAGTGTGTTCTTAAGCTTTCAGACGCAAAAACTTCTATGGAAATCTGCAAGCAGCAGCTAGATATCAAACTTAGTTTGCATTGGTCTATGAAGAGAAGTTCATACATCGCTCATGAATCATGCGTCAATTCAACTTCCTCACTAATTCTAATCGAATCCGACGGGCATAAATAGGCTCCACATACATTCTAACTGTGCTCTGTACTCTAACTGTTGTCGACTAGCGTGACCCCGGCACGATTACAGGCCCTGATGGAATTTGGCACCAGCGGCTGCGCTGTTGACCTGAGAATGTAACGCCATTGGTTCAATTTATGTCCGTAGGTCAACGACCTGTCTCCGTCTCGACCTCAAACACCATTCGACCTGGGGTCTGAAGCCATCGGAGCATCCAGCAGACATTGCAGCCAGAACAGCACGCTAGCTGTCTTCCGCCTTCCCTCGCTGGAATGTTGCCGGCTGCTGACCTGGGATGATGCCAGCAGTCAGCCGATGACGTCACAACTACAGATGATGTCATACCTACAGATGACGCTTGACACTCAAACTGCCAACCCAATGTGAATGGAAGGCTCTTGCGATACTTGTGACGAACTTATGGACAAACTCTCGTCATCGCTCTACAAATTTGGTTTGGGTAGAGCAATGTCAGATTTTGCCCAAATTCGGGTGATGTCAAACCTGAGAGGGAAGTTTGCGGGCGGGCCGTACGCAGTCGCTTCCAAGCCAACCTCCGGTGACGTCTGGACAAAAGTCGACAGCCTTCAAAAGTGAACTGAGGTTTGAAATGCAATCTCCAAGGCCGACACGGGCCGATCTTGGAATCCGTCTGAGTCTCGCACGCCCCGGGCCACGTCTGCGCTTGCCGGTCTCAGTCCGATCGCATTCCGAAGGTCTCGCGTCTCAGCCCGATCTCATTCCGAAGGTCTCGCGTCTCAGCTATCTAGCTCCATCGCGGCACGCTCAGATCTCGGGCCAAAGATCGCTGAGCTCGATGTCGTCCGGCAGCTCGTCGAGCCGCGGCACCAGGTCTGACGTCAGCAGGTCTGACGTCATCAGGTCGGACGTCATCAGTGGACCACAGTCTGCGGCGTCGCCGGGATACTCGCGGTCTCGTCCGCGCATGTCGCATACGACGTTCGTCAGCGCCATTATGTAGTTCTTGGCCAGCGTCAGTGTTTCGATTTTAGACAGCTTCTTTTGCGTCTGCACGTGCGGAATCACTTGTCGCAGCCCCTGGAACGGATCAAATGTGTGAGAGGAGCGTGGTGATGGCATGACAGGAGAGCGCCAACGAGAAGATTGCTGGGTGGCTTTGAGCGCCGCCGAGCACTCGGACTGCATATCAATCAGGATCAGGCTGCTGGTAGGGCTTTAGACACCACGTAAGAGGAGAGAGAGAGAGGGTGAGGGAGAGAGGGATAGAGAGAGAGAGAGAGAGAGAGAGAGAGAGAGAGAGAGAGAGAGAGAGAGAGAGAGAGAGAGAGAGAGAGAGAGAGAGAGAGAGAGAGAGAGAGAGAGAGAGAGAGAGAGAGAGAGAGAGAGAGAGAGAGAGAGAGAGAGAGAGAGAGAGAGAGAGAGAGAGAGAGAGAGAGAGAGAGAGAGAGAGAGAGAGAGAGAGAGAGAGAGAGAGAGAGAGAGAGAGAGAGAGAGAGAGAGAGAGAGAGAGAGAGAGAGAGAGAGAGAGAGAGAGAGAGAGAGAGAGAGAGAGAGAGAGAGAGAGAGAGAGAGAGAGAGAGAGAGACAAAGAGAGAGCGAGAGATAGAGAGAAGACCAAGGGAGAGGGAAGATGATGTAAGAAAGAGGGAGAATGGAAAGCAGTGGAGCGATTATGAGAATTGGCAACAGGAAAGCGAAGAACGAGGCAAGTTGTTACAACATAGTAATCATAATAATCGTTCAAAGCACACCATGTCCACGTTTCTACTGGCTGCGAAGACACATGCATGATTTTCATAATAAACCTGATACCTGGCGTGAAAATATAAATGCCAGCCTTAACAAATGCTGTCAAGGAGCACTGACTTGACCTTACTTGAGGCTACACAATTCATACAATACTTGCGCTGAAACTCTTTGATGTGCTTTAAAAAAAATTTCCTGTACTTTCGGCAGTCATGTTCTGATGGTGTCCAGGGCGACCGTGTGGTGGCGGCCGCTGGAAAGCTCCATCATAGCAAGGTAGGGACGGGCAACCGCTGCCATTTGCCGCGACCTTGTTTCTACCAGAGCTCTGACGGTAAACTGACGCCACGCCACGCAGGATGGTAGCCAGCATACAGAACAGCGACGGGAAGCTCCAGCTTCTTTCTGATTCTCTTTTATTTTCCGTTGTAGACTTCTGGCAAATAAACTTGCCCGGAAGCGAGGGGGATTAAATGCCCGCAGGCGTAGCCCGAGAAGATTACCGGGCGTTGTTTTCCAGCGCTGTGGTATCCGCGACCATTGTTCTTGCTTCTACAGATGAGGTGTGAGGCGCCAGCCAGCAGTAAAACAACTCCCGAACACTGGGGGTGCTGGTAAAGCAACAGACGACAATGCAAGGAGCTCGAGCTTCCCTGCGGAGGCAAACTTAGGCGGGGTGGAAATGTGTGCTGCTGTGTTACAAAATAGCTCGCATGAATCTCTGCCTAAGGTTTTTTAAAACATAGACAAAACGACAGTGGTCTTGTTGTTGCTGCTGTTGTGGACATTGTTTATAGCAAAGCGACTTATATATCGTGACCTAGTTTCTCTAGTGTATTAACGGAAATTTGTGTTGAATTTAAAATTTCTTACAAGCGGTGAGAGGAAACTTCGGCACACCAATTACTTCGGAGGGGAAGTTTAGAAATGTGAATGTGTTCGTTGGTATCTATGCAGACAATGGTGCGCGAAAGTGAAAACACGCTTGGCCTGCCTTTGGCCGAACGGTTTGGAAGTTCATGACGTCACTAACAATATCGACTCGGGGATGTTGTGCTTTGGCGGAGAGGGGCGCAGTTTTATTCAGCAAGAGGCCACGTCTCCGTCGAAACAAGTCCCTCTTGTTGCTGTTTTTTTATCTTTATTTATGTTACACAAAAGTTGAGGAGAAATCGCATTGCAGCATTACTGCACGGGTCAGAAAACCCGAGAAGTCGAGAATACAGCAAGCTTAAAGGGAGTGCGCCACTTTGGGGTATATTTCAAAACCATACTCTGGTGAGCAGTCTGGATTAGTTATCCGTAATCGTAGTATTTGGCAGTGTCATTAGTTATCTCTAGTGGTAGTACTGCGTAGCATCATGAGTTATCTCTAGTGGTAGAACTGGGTAGTATCACTAGTTTTCTCTAGTGTTAGTGCTGGCAAGTGTCATTGCAGCATCAGGACGATAGGATGACAATATCAATGTTATGACTTTAAAAAAAAAAATCAAGCAGTTCACGCTTTTTCAAAGCACAATTTTTCTTTTTCACCTGTAAACCCAAAGTTTAGCTCTAGTCTGCGAGAGCTGAAGACGACAGAATCTGCTGAGAGCCGTCGTCAACTGTCACGGACTAGAGGAACCACTTTTGAGCTGTTTTAACCCGCACATTGCGGGTATGAACGCTTAAAAGTAATATCTCTGCCGGTATGAATCACATCGGTAGAAACGATCGTTTGCGAAGGTGGGACTAGTGCATTACTATAGCTCTCGTGATATGCCTGATTCCCAAAGCAAAAGTGCGCTTTGAAAAGATCCAATGCGCCGCACGCCGCAGGGCACAAGTTAAATCTTGAAATTCAAAACAAATCAGAGCAAGCATGACGCTTCTTTACACTTTCACGGAAACAGCCTTATATTTGTGTAGCAATTTTCTATGAAAAGAGGTTGCAAGCCCTCGTTGCAGTTTTTGCCCTGGCGTATTGACCGGTTAGTATATTCGAAAAAGTAAAACAAATGAAAAGCGTTGCTCTCATAATTTGGGAGGAAAGTTCAACGAGGTTTCTCCCGTCGGAGCGGCTGCTTCAATTCGAAATTCTGAGCTAGCCAGTCTGATTTAGATCAAACTGGCATTATCGATCAAATCGGTCGTGTTTGGTTCACCAATAAATCAAAGGTGCAAAGAGGTGAAGTAGTCCATTGAAATACAGCCTGGAGCTTAAGTTAGTTATTCGTTGGTGTGCAAGGAGAACGTTGTAAAGCACTTGTTCGGAAGCAATGCAAAGGAATACGGACTAAGCGTTTTGCGAAAGTGTTAAGACGTAAAAAGTAATCCCCTTTGTATTCAACTGGAACTGCTTCCTTGCATTAACCATCATTAGGTAGCTTGCATGTACTCAAAGGTGCTGATATAACAAGACACGTGCTGAAGAGCTCACTTTAGAATATATATATCGATATTAGGCCAACGCCTGCGAGGAATGGTGCTCTTAACTAGAAATCACGTCCAATGATTCTCATTAATAATGCACGACTTGGGCCATGCATAATTCAGACTCATTTTCAGTCTTCCTGAGAGCTGTCTATCCGCCATCTGAGAAGGTTTTGCGTTGGGTTCTCATTATATCACATCCGGTGTTAAAACGCTTTGGCCCGTATCCCGGTTAGCGTATATCTCGTTGATATCACTATCGTGATTACATCTCTACTAAAATATGACAAGCATCCTTGGAGAAGCATAGTTAACATAAATTATCCCTATTAAAACATAACACGCTCCAGCTTCCGCACAAACAATCGTACGAGGTTGAACATTACCATGGAAATAAACAAGTACCGTTTGTATCGAAAGGCAATGAGAAAGACTTTAAACGAATCCGTTAAAACTATGAATAAAGCGATTCCCTGACTGAAGTTTGCATTTTCATTCCCTGACTAATGAACAGTGGCCCCGTTCACATCAGGGTAATAACCAGTAGCCAGATTGCCGACGCTGGCAGGCAAAAATTGAAAACGCATCAATCATTGGCGAAGCTGCGATAGCAGAACCACAGTTAAGCGCGGTGATGATTGCAGGACGTCGATTATGGTCAAATACGTTCGCACTCATTTGGAATAGCTTGCACTATATCTGTGAGCATGGAAAATGTGATCGCTTGGTCAGCCTCGTGTCAGGCTGCCATATTTGATATGGCAGCATCGTCACCTTCGAAGAGCGGCCTCGCTGCCTCATGATTGTGGGTTCGGTGGCGGACTGAACTGTTGTTGTGAAGGTAGTCCTAATATAAGGCATTTGAAAACGACGGGGGCATGCTGAAACCTTACACTTCAGCGACAATCCTACCATTTTAGGCCCGCAAACACTGATCATCGTCCTTCCTTACTTCGCAGATATCTCCGTTCAATCTCACATCACCGCATGAAAGGCATGGGCGGCTGCCGCTCCTCCTTTCCTCTGTAATCTGCTCTTGAATATGTTTCATAGGAAACTTTCCACAGCTTATTTCTAGACCTGAAATCTTAATAATAAGTTTTGTTTTTGTTTGTTTTCTGTTGTATTTGTATTTGTGAATGTTACAAAACTGAAAATTAGTCACGAACTTCGAACTTCATTAAGATATTTTGTTTTATAAAACAGACGTCGTCTTCACGATCGCATTATTCATATAACCGCCTCGCGGAAAGCAGGTCAGGTTCACGTGCCGTACCAGGGTCCCCGTCATTTGCGTTGTGCAAAAAAAATAAATTCGAATGGTGGAGGAAGCACACCACTTTCGAGGTTTGACGTCTGCTAATGTATAACCACACCATCAACTGACTAATGTGAAACCCCGCGTGTTGCCGAACCACAAGCTTTACGACGTCGTTTTCCAGTGCACCTCACAAGACTGCATAATACGCCGGACTGGCCAGCTTCTGTTGCCGCATCCCCGTCCAAAGCTAGCTTAAACTATCCTATCTTATTGAACTATCCTCGCTAGCGTAAACTACGTGTATAGGCCGAGGGTTAGTTCAGCCGGGTACCGTTAGAGCTGCAGAGCACGGGGGTGTCGAGTACGCGGGGACGCTTAGCCGGGGAGCCGTTAGAGCTGCAGAACGCAAGGGTATCGATCACGCGAACAAGCTGGATACCGGTAGCGCTGTAGAGCACGGGGTGTCGAGGCCGTGGAATAGTTAAGCTGGGTGCCGTTAGTGCTGCAGAGCACGGGGTGTTGAGGCCTTCAGGCGGATCTCCCGAACGTTCTCTGAAATCCGATAGTGATTGCACATCTAGGACTGAGTTTACGTGCTGTCGCGTTCTACTCGCTCGCGATGTCTTCCGAGCAAATCGCCTTTGGTGGCAAAAAGGCC